ACCAAAGGTTCGCCTGACTCCTTTTGAACCTCCCTTCACGAACACAGGCATCGATTATTTCGGGCCACTGACAGTAAAATTCGGACGGGGTACAGCCAAGCGATACGGATGTATATTTGCATGTATGGCGTCAAGGGCCATACATCTGGAACTAGCTCAGTCTCTGGAAACTGACGATTTTATTATGGTTTTACGACGACTCCTAAGTATCAGAGGAAGCGTTAAACAACTGCGTTCAGATAACGGATCAAATTTCGTAGGCGCAGAGCGTGAGTTGCGCGAAGCCTTGGAGAAGTGGAATCAAAGTCGGATCGAAGACCATTTAAGACAATCAGGAGTAGAATGGATTTTTCACCCGCCCTACGCATCCCATATGTCAGGGGTGTGGGAGAGATTAATTCGTGGCGTTAAGTGTTCGTTAAAGGCCATTCTTGGAAAAGGTCTGGTTAAAGAAGAGATCTGTTATCGGAAGCACAAGGCATAGCCAATTCAAGGCCCCTATGCCCGAACTCAGACGATCCTCGTGATATGGAGGCATTAACTCCAAATCACCTGCTGCTTCAAAGACCCTCGACGAATCTGCCACCTGGAACGTTTGATGATGCTGATTTGCATAGCAGAAAGAGTTGGAGGCAATCACAGATTCTGAGTGATCATTTTTGGAAGCGATGGTTAAGTGAGTATGTGCCAACCCTTCAAAAAAGACAAAAATGGTTTAAACCTCAGCGAAATATAAAGGTAGGAGATCTCGTAATGTTAGTTGACGACAACATTCCACGGGGGCATTGGCTTCTCGGTAGAGTAACGAAGGTGTTTCCGGGAAATAATGCCTTGGTAAGAGTAGTCGAAGACGAAAACCAATGTTCTTAAGCGTCCGATCCAGAAGCTCTGCCTTCTAGAAGCAGCGGAATAGTTATGTACAAATCGACAAAGGTATTGTGAATAATACGTTTTGAAAGATGTCGCCACCAAATGTGAGGCCAGAACAGATGCTGAATGAGCTCTCCCGTGGTTTGCTCATTGGGGGGCCGGGATGTTACGACCAGACAGAGACGCAATAATTATGTTAATTATTTCGCGCCAATTCTTCGAGTTTAGCATAATGTATTTAGTTCTTAGTCGTGATAACGAAAGCTTCGCAAACTGTTGATATTTTGATTGTGACACATGTAGATAAAATGACTTAAATTCGCCATAGATGTAAGTATATTTTGAACTTGTTTCTACTAAGGATAACTTAGATTTATGTTTTAACGGTTTCACGACGTAATTCTTTACAGCAAACCTTTGTTAACCTCGATATATCGATATTGACATTTGAAATGTAACGATGTTACAACGAGAGTAAATATAACGAGAGTATAAAACGAAGCGTATGATGATTGGTGAATGATAAAGGATTTAATAAGACATCCAGTTGGGTTTGTTCCCAACACTGAGTTCTCATCCCCTCACGTCTTGATCTGGTTTTTGCAACTATTTTGACAGTATAGTTGTCGGATAAACCAAATGGGGCACGCTTTTCTGTGCCGTCGTAATATTGGCCAATATTAGTTAAAACTTCATCTAGTACGTTGGCCCCTTGTAGCGAACTTCACAAGCTGTATAGTTTAAATTGTTGGTTAATACGAGATGTGTTCAGTCTGTTGAGATCGCTCATCAAATCAGACCGCAGTTTGCATTGGCTGTTTCAATACTGGCTAAAGAATCCATAAGGTAGCCAATCATTTGGTTTTTATCGGCGTTCGGGGGATGGTTGATTGTGGCAACAATTATACAAGAAATGCCGCGTGGGAGTCGTTTTGGCAGTAATTTAACCCAAAGCACTTCAAAAGAGGGATTATGCAGTTCGTTTAATACGGCGAATTTAATATCACCACGGATGTAGGTAAAGACTCCCCCATGTATGTTGTTGATTCGGTCTCTTCGAACTAGATTAAAACCAGGAATATTAATGACAGAGTCTAAAATAGTTTGCCTCAATCACGTTTCTGTGAAGCCTGCCACTTCAATGTTTGATTCACTTATGAAATAACTTATTTCGTCAATTTTTGGTGCTAAGGACATTACATTAGATAAGATTAGGTTTGGTAAAAAAAATACATTGTTTTTCTCTTAAAGTCAAGAGTCCACTGTTCCAGTTGGTTTGATTTCTTCAAGATTCCTATATTTATGACGCTGTTTATATATCTTGTGGTTTGAACCATAATTAATACCTGCCCAGTCTCTATTCTTTATTCTGACTGGGATAGGTAGGCAAGGTGATTCAATTTTGACTGAGTCTGAGGATAGATCTTTTACCTTGATGTGGATTTTTGCGCTCACGTGAGTTTAATCATCGTTTCGGTTCGTACCGCAAGGGAAAGAGGCCTGGTTAAATTCGATACATACTTTAGGTACTTTCCCCACACGATTTGTTCGCATCTAATAGGGCGCTCCTCCGAAAAAACCCCAAACCTCTACGCTTCCTATTATCCCCGAGCCGGTGCGAGCACCGTGCGAGGGTACTAATTCCGCCCGGAGATTAGGAATTACACCCGGGACCCGGGAGAACATAGCGGAATCCAAAGTTGCCAAAATGTCATGGACGTTCAATGGTCATGGTACTTGTGCGCATGCGCGAAATGCGAACGAGTGTAGACTGGCAATCAGCAACTTCCTGATTGGCTAAGACGAAACGTTTGTGTTTCAGTGAAAAACGTCAGCAATTTAACTGTCATTTTGCAAACTATTTTTTAAAAAAATGTTTCGAAAACAAAATATGAAATTTGGAATAAAATAACAGATAAAACACTGGGAAGAGTTTAAAATATTATCATAACTGGAGGAATTAGCGGTGAAAAGGAACAACTCGATTATAATCCTTGAAATGGTAGGAGTCTATTTTGTTTATTTCGAGGTTTATTTCGTGTTTGCTGTACGAATACATTTTATGACCTTGGTACAGTATGTCGTTTTGCTCGGTTTTGGGAAGACGTGACCGACTATTTAAGGCTTTACATCATCGTTTTAACTTCCAAAAGAGTCCTTAAAAGTGTAATTCGGAGTTCTAATATAACAAATATCACTTTAAATGTTTATATATAGTCGACTGCAATCACTGCATGAATTTAATAATCGAAAAACAACATTCGACGTTCACTGCTTGGTTATTTATATTATTTGGGCTGTTTTGATGTTTTGAAGGTTTAGCTATAATGAAGTATTACTGAACTGTGAAAGTCTATAACTTAATGCAACGGAAAGCAGCAGGAAAACGGGTGATTTCACTTCACCTTTACGACTGTGAACTATGTTTGTTTCCGAAATATTTGAAACATCAGCTATCGGCTTTACATTTAGGACATTTCATAATATTGAAGGTTAAGTCTGGCTAGCTCAGGAAATATTTTGCTTCCTTTGAAATGGCGAGGGGTTGCTGCATGCATGTATTTCTAGTTATGACAATAAGGCGAGTTCGGAAGGATACTTTGAGAGTTGGTTTGTAGTTGACCGTGCATGGGAATGTCGAACGTACCAAAATCCCAATCGGTGGTGGGATTTGACACATTTATGTCAGAGCTTTCATAAGTACAACCGTCCGCCATGGTTGCAGCTATGGCTTCCGTTTATATATAAATACTGTATGCCATATATTGTGAGTAATGTTCAAGTTCGACGGCACATGCGTAGTTGCGACGTATACTGACTGACTTACTGACTGACTGACTGACTGACTGACTCGTTTGAATTTTCGCCACTCATCACAATACTCCAAAGTTTCTCAAACTTTGCACTAAAAATTATTTCCAAAAAGTAATTCTTTGAAAAAACAGGCGTAGATCATCATCATAGAGTCCGCCATTGCTAGCCTTATAGAATGAATGCGCGCGCCTAATTTACTAGAGAAATACACGAGAAATAAACACTTCAGTGCCTTAATAACGGCACAAAGAATGCCTGTTCAACTTTTATTATTATTTTATTATTTTAAGTTAGGAAACCAGTATATAGGCTATATGTGTTTTCAGGCAAGCATGCAACATTGCATAATCTTTAGCTCCAATCATAACATTTCTTTTGCTTATTTTTGTAAATAATGACTTATTGCTTCTGGTTAGAATGCTTTTTGATCCTCCATTAGCAAAAATTGTTCCGTATTTTCATTTGGACTCTCACAGTACGTTTGGATGCCATTTAATTTCTTCTCTGACTGCATATAAGACTAAATATTCTTTACATGATGAAGTAATACCCAAATATTCTGAGTTCATAAACACAAACTAACCTCTAGTGTCAATGGATGTTTTCCAAAACTAAGCTTCTCTGAATTACTGACTGATCTACTTGATGTCTCCTAATAAACCTCGTCCTCAGCTGTATCATGAGTGCTTATAAAATATATGTTAGCATTGCTTAAGCTTAATCATAAACAGTCATATAAAATATAAACATATACTTAATTGCTGTTGACTCTTACGCTTAAAAAGTTGTTCAAAGGATGCATTAAACTTATCATCAGAACTTAATTCTCCTATTGCAGAACATATTCATACATTTTAACAGAAAAGATGTCGACATTATTCGGGATTAAAAACTGCTGCCTTTGGCTGGTATTTTATAAATATGCAAAATGGTACGCAAAAATATACAATAAATGAATGTCCGTTCTTTGTCTTTTTAGCATCCCCTATTACATTTTAGCGTACGTTTTCCCAACTAGGAAAACATTATTTGATTTACTTCAGATTATAGAACAGAGGACATCTGTGACATTGCGCAAAGCCAATACACGATAATTGTATCTTCCGGCGCGTCCATAGTTGTTAAAGATTTTCATCAAAGTACAGAAAAATGCACTTTAAAATCACATTAGCCAGAAATCGACACAATTTGGCAGAAACACCCCCGCGCGCTCGCGCTTTCTTGGCCACCGATCTCTGTGTAGTAGCTGAGTACTGCTGCTGCCGCCTGGATACGAAGCTGCGGCATAAAAGTTATTTTAATTTGTTTATACTTACCACTTTTTTCATCATATTCTCTTAGTGGATCACTGGAACATTCTAATTTTTCAAAATTCAAGTCACTTGCATTGTCTCGTTGTCCATGACTTCCATCATCCTTTCCAATGTTACTGTTAATTAGAATTTACACATGCTATTATTTACATCCAGTAACCCAGAGCAGACTGGTAGACAAAATTTAAACCACGGTGTAGCTTTCTTATGCCTATAGGCTATAGATCAATGTCCTTCAGATGAATTGGGAAGCCTTTATTATATGTACTGATTATTTCATGGCTAAAAAATTATACTAACCAGTCCAATTTCTTTTCTTTTTATATAATCAACTATTAGGTGCCCTGCATCGAGAAAAATTGTTTTGATTTTACCTCTTTTTTATATCCGCTGCTCTTTTTTCTACTTCTTCCATATTCTCAATTTCAACCGTCAATCCCTCTGTTTCAATTCCAATATTAAAAAATTCCCTCCTCAAGCGTTCTTTCATTCCTCCGGATTTAAAATCTTCTAAAACCTCCAGAAATCTTTTGTCCGTAAAACAATGCAGGATGACGTGTAGACACTTCGGTTTGATGTCCCGAACATTTTGGTCATCTCTTTTACCGCCAAGGCCCTTATCAACAGCCCCGTCCATTTTTTGTGCAATTAATTTATAACCTGCATATATTGCTCCTAGTGAGACTGTCACTGCGGACGCTGCGAGTAATATGTCTTTAACAACAGCTCTATCGGCGTCGATAGTTATCTTATATGTACCGCCAGAAATTGTAGCATGGAATGCCTCACGGGCAACGCCATGAACGGCTTGTCCAATTTCATCTACAGGATCCGCCATTGGAAAACTTTTTCTAAAACGGAAAACAAAACAATGGTTACAGTAAACCTGCAAGCGCAATACCACGTTTAACGTGAAAAATTTACCCTATTAGCGCATAATACAGAAGGATTTGTTAAATACCCTATTGCTAAAGACGTATCTCCGCCACTCGCCGGCCTGTCCAATTCCTATAATTATGTTAGTATTTTGCCTTAATGCATGAGAAATGCTTTAATGCTAGATCATCATCTCCGCTAGGGGTTATATGTAATTGTATAATCATCTGGGTTTGTGCATGTGTATGTGCATGAGTGTGTATTTATACCAAATTTTGTCCATGCAAATTGGAGGCCTTTAAAGAACTGCTTAAAATGATGTTAAATTTAGCTGTGAATTCAAGGAGAAATATTACGTCATGTGACGCGTCATAACACATAATGCATAAGCCTAGGGTAATAAAGAAGCAGTAGCAAGAAATTACCTAATTATATCAACCATGTAAAAGCGTAATCCTTAACGATAACCCTACCCCTTACCCCAAAATAATCACGTAATTCCAATTTAAGCCAGTAAGGCCTGTTTCAAACGTCGCATTTTGCATGTGTCGAATACAATTGTTTGAATTATCTGCATGCGAAATGCGACGTATGAAACAATTGAATTCGCCGTTTTTAATTGCGGTCGACCGTGATGCTAAATTCGACTGTTCCGGTCGCATTATGCGAGCTCGATGCGACGTGGTTTCATAGGTCGCATTTTGCATGTGTCGAATTTAATTCGCTTGAAGAAAAAGGCAAAGAACGTCATGTTATATTATTGAAAGAATTTCCCGCGTTTTTTCGTCCATGTGGTATATGCAAATATGGAGGACAAAGACAAAGGAAATATTGAACCAAAACAGTCGACGACGTATTGTATTTCATGTGGAAAGCTAACAAACTACATTTGCCTGCAGTGTTCTGCGTCTGTTTGTAATCGCTGCGCGATACATGAACCAGACGACGAATGCCAAGGCTGGCTTGCTGGGAAAGCAGTTGGATATTGTATCAATTGCAATATTTTTGGGCAAGAGTATGAAGAAAAATTAGAAAATAACAAGAAAAGGTTAGAAATGTGACATTTTTGAATGTATGACGTAAAAACATATCGACGTAAAAAGTGATTATTTCTTTTGAATTCAGTTGACGTCAGGCTGAATCAGCCAATTTTATTGATTTTTTTATTCGTCATTTGCTATATAGCAACAATAGCTATAAATGTTAAAATAATATGATTATCAAAATTGTGCCTTCCAGAAACTGAAGGATTGGAGGCTAGAAATTGACCACCCATTTAATGTCCAAACATGGCTATCCCAATGCTATATACTGAAAATAATTTGCTTCCATAATACTTTTCCTGGTGTACTTTATTCATGTCCACAATTTGCAACCAACTATTGCTGGTACACATTTGGGCAATTTGTGTATTGTTTTATATAGTGAGCAAACAAATGCCGGTGATAGTTCTACAATCCCACAGAATGAGGATGATGGTGAAGAAAATTGCACAAGATTTATTGGTACCAAGAGAAAAAAAGGAAAGGCTGGAAGAAAAGCAGTGTGGAGTACTGATGCTGTGGATGACTTAGTGGATATCATTACATCTGATGACTACAATAAACAAAAGTTGATATTTACTAACACAAAAAATCAAAATAATGGCATTATTTATGAAAAGGTATTAACTGAGCTGAAAAAAAGAGCAAATGAAAGAGGAGAAGAGATTACGTTCACTGTTCAACAGTTGAGGACAAAATTTAAACGTTGTGTCAGCGATTGTAAACAAGCTGCCATGAAAATAAAAACTGCCACTGGAATCCAACGCTTCCAAGATGAAAAAGGATTTGGAAAATGGTTTGACTTGCTTTTTCCACTTGTGAAAACACGTGACTCATGTCAACCCGGTATGGCAGTTGAACCTTCTGCACTTAATGATCTTAGTGAAGAGGAAGAGATTGCAAAAACCTTTGATGACTTTGTTCCTCAAAAGAAAATAAAGCTCCCAAAGAAAAATCAAGTAACTGAAGCTGTTGAATTGCTTAAGCAAATTGTTGAAAAAGATCCAGCAAAGGAGCTAATTACATTTATGCAAGAAGAAGCAGACAAGGCAAGAAAGCATGAGCTTCAGTTGGTGGAATTAATGTTAAAACATACTTCTACACCAACTAACAGTAACCAGGTTAATCTTGTTCCACCACATGATATCTCAGGTATGAGTTTTGGTTCTGTCCATGGAGGACCACATCAAAATTGGAGTAGCCCTCAGCAATATTTTAGTAATCAAAGTACTGAGAGTCCTATGTATAACATGCCAACCATTGGCCAACCCTCAAGCTTTGTATATCATCCTGGAAATGGGTTCAGTCCACCAAGTGTGACCAAGTAGGCTAAGTATTGTACAATAGGGATTTAGAATTGTTGCTGTTTTGTTTCCAAATGTACAATCTTTAAAAATAACTGTAAGAAATATTATAATAGATGTCAGAAGGAAGAATTGGACAAACATTTAGATTTTGTTTGCAGCAGAGGTAGTTAAGCCAATGTGCATGTAATATGTGAAGGCACTAGCTCTGATGAAAACATTTGTATTCAAGAGTTCCCATATGGAAAATCTAGACTATATTGAATTACAGTCTATGACAAACCAGAACAATATTTTTGAACATAAATATTTATTATTAACATTTTGCATTTTTTGGTAAAAAGAACAGATTAATACAAACATTTTACTAGGGTTTTTGCCCAAGTCAATACTGATGCATAAATATTACCTTATGCAGAGAAAGAAATTTTTTCAAACACACTTACTAGAGTATATAAATTTGTATATTAATTATTAGCAAGAGTAACCTTACACTTAAACTCTGATACCATATCAACAGCGCATATTCAATGAAACATCTTTTCCCATTCATTTTGCTCATTTGAGCATTTCTTCCTACTGTAATTTTTTAAATTCAAAGTTACTGTTGCAAACACTTCAAAGTTGAAATTAACGTGAAGTGTCCCCTCATAAGGTAATGTTGGGGAATATATATAATGCATCACTTTTGACTTCAGCAAAAACTCTTAAATTCCTTTTAACAGAATAAACAAGAACAACGTTCAATTATGTTCGAATAAATCCAGTCTCTTTTTCAAGCCAAAGTTTTTCAACCAATGCCATTCTAATCTTTTCCGCCAGAGGCGATGAATTGTTTACTTTGGAACAATTGGTCATTTGCAGTATTTCCCGAATTTTTTCTCTATCCCTCTTCTCACTGGTAGTAGGGTCAATGGTAAGGTCCAACTTTTTTGGCATTGTATCACCCAGATTGATACAAATATTGTGGAGTACCATACAGGCAAGTGCAAATATGCGAACATTCTTGCTGTCGCTCTCACATTTCCGAAGAAGCACACGCCATCTTCCCTTTAACTGGCCATATGCCCCCTCTGTGACCATCCGAGCACGACTTAGCCGATAATTAAAGTATCTCTGTTCGGGTGATAAAACAGCATTGGTGTAGGGTTTCATCAGCCATGGTGCGAGTGGGAATGCTGAATCACCAACAATAAGAGGAGGCACAGTTTGTGTGCCCACTTTTTTTCCTATCGATGGTAGACCATCGCCCTCTTCGATATTTGACCAAAGCTCAGTTGACTGTAGAATTATTGAGTCGTGTGAGTTTCCTGGGTAGCCACAGCTCCCCCAAATGAATCGATAATGTGAGTCAACCAATGCCATGAGGACAATAGAGTAAAAGTTCTTAAAGTTATGGTACTCTTTGCAAGCTTGCATTCCACCTGGAGGACACTTAATAGGGATATGGCAACCATCAACTGCAGCCCAACAACATGGAAATTGCCACATTTCTTCCATATCCAAGATTTTTCCCGAAAGGTCTCCTCTGAGTTTGGCATATGCTTGTTGACACTGTCTTCCCATAGTATCTCAACAATAGCTTCAGATACTTCTCGGGTAATTGTTGCAACTGTTGACAATCCAAGACCACAAAGTTCTGAGATAGTGTAGTAATATGTCCACGGCCAAGGCGATAGAGACAGATAGCCAGTCGCAAAGCCGGCTCAACAGGCTCCTCTGTTAAAGATTTCCTTTCCAATTTAGTACGTATGCGCCCAAGAATAAAAGAAAATGTACCTCTTGACACTCTGAAGGTTTTTTTAAAACCGAGCATCAGAGTATGTTTGCCACACAAATTCCACCAACCTGGATTTCGTTGAAATCTCCGACATGAACGCTTCACGGTTGTAGCTGAATTTCGTGCGGATAAAAGGAGAACTACCACAGCACATATTTTTAATAGCTTTTGTCTACGACTTATTAAAAAGTGCAAAGCTGCTTCGAATGTCTTTCGCCTCTGCCTTGCCCGATGTATTATATTATTTAATATTAATATTTTGGTACACTTATTTGAATTTGGCGCCATATTGCGCCATTGCTTTATTTATTTATTTACGTCATTTACGTCATGATATGCGCCCAAGCGGACTGCCGCTAATTGAATTCAGCACATGCGAAATGCGACATTTGAAATGACGGTCGGATTATTGTTTTAGGGTCGAATCTAATTAGAATTGTATTCGACACATGCAAAATGCGACGTTTGAAACAGGCCTAATTACTCCGGCGTCAGCGACGGAGTTGAAAATTCGCCTATGTTTTGTTTTGTTTTTGTTGTTTTTTTATTATTTTTCGTCGTCGCAAGTGTGTTTTGGCGCGAAATCTACTAGAATTTGAAAAGTGTATGTGACCGTATTTATCTACGTCACAGTTTTGTCTCCCAAGAGTTCTGGTGCACATCTCGAAATCTCTGACTAATTTTCCGATGCGCGATTTGATTTCGCCCGCATGATACAGCAAATCCTCCAAGAAGAACAAATAAACCGTTCTTTTGATGCTGTTCGATTAAGTTTAGATTTAATTGGGGTCAGAATATATTTAATACATGTAGATTCTGGTCCTATTTTAATAATATCGCTGCTATTTTGCCGTTTACGAAGAATGTATTTAATAAATACGAAGAATGTATTTTATTTTACTAGGGTTACACATTTGTATGTCGATATTTAGTACCGTTAGACTAATGTTCATTTTAAAGACTCGTTTTCTACTGTATGTATGCTTTGTGATCTAGTTCAGTTCATAAGTTAACCATGATTTAATTGTCCTCATATCACATGTCAATATGTCATTGACACACGAATCATTTCCATACATCAATTTTTATATTAATAATGGACGAGAACATCCAAGATTTCATTACGTTTATCAATATGTCCATGACTAATGCACGCGCGCCAAATCATTCGAATAAACCGTTTGTTTGTAAATGTTTGAGTTGCATCCTAGATAGGTATCCATGTGGTAAACGAAACGGCATACTCTAAGTACGTATGAAGAATAGTACCGATTTAGTTCATTGTTGAAAATCATGTTACATCGGTTACAAATTTTGAGCGATGAGCAGATGAGCACATGCTCGTAACTGCTCATGAGCAGATGTTCATCTGCTCAATGAGATATTTCATACCCACTTAAAATTTTTGTTGATAAAATGAAAATGTAGCTATGAACTCGCGGCCGGAAGTAAGAAAATTTCAGACATGGATTAACGATTTTAACATTTATTTGTCTTGCAATTAGTTACAGCAGTAAATAAAAAATTCTTCTAAAACGTTGCCATGGTTTCCTCAAGAAAGGTTTGGTAAACCTTTGCCATTGGACTAAATTTAAAGTCTAATTATCATATCATCGTCATAATCTTCACTGTCTTTATTTTTCTCGTCATGTGCAATCTCGTGGTCGCTTAAAAGCCTTTTAATAAGAAACTTTCTCTTATCAAATGCAGCTTCTATTGCTTCTTCTGGGTCAAAATCATCATTTTGAATAAACGCATATTTTGTGTGCATTATTTTCTTATGTACTGGATCTGTCTTTGGTTGTCTTATCCACAAAAGGCGTTCTAAACAGATATTTTCTAATTCTTTCTAGGGTCTAGGCATAATATTCAAGTAAGCTTTCTCTTTAGCAGAGTGCTCATCGAAACCTCTTTTTATGAGGCGTACTCTCATTTCCTCGAAAGCTGTGTTACTTCTTTGTTGTGCTTCTTCTATTAGTGGTATCCAGGGATCAATTTCTTCTCTAGATTCTGAGTCAGTCCCCGTCGAACTTCCAGACTGCTGAGTAGAAGTTGTTGAGACATCGTCACGGAAATATCTTTCTTGACTGTCCGAGTCTGTTTGAGACATGTTTTTTCTTTTTCTCGTAATGGACAGTATTTCCGTTCGTGTTTACGCTGATTATAACCGCGATAAGTATCTTACGCAAAATTGGCAGCTCATTCCCTTACCACTAGAGGTGTGGAAATGAATTGTTATCGAGCAATAATGCAGTTTTATGAGCAGATGAGCATGTGCTCATCTGCTCATCGCATAAAATGACACCCGGTTCATTGAAACTTTTCAGGCCCAAACTCTGATATAATTCATATTGTTCAATTTAAAAAATAATGTCTGTTGCAATTTTTACCCACAGGGGAAAAGACTAGGGATCCAAGGATAGTGCAAAGTTTCTATGCCCTGTAATACCTAAGCAAGACGTTTGTCCCAACATAAATATTTTGACTTATGTCAGTAAAAATATAATGAACTAGTAAATAGGTTAAACATTAATCAAAAGGAAATTACTGAAAGTTACGTTAGTCGCGGATATTGTCACTATTAAATTATAATTTTAGTTTGTCATGTAAACCGGGCTAATTTTCTCAGTTTAGTCTCTTTTCTTCGTCAAACAACTGTGACTACATTCACTACATTTATATGCAAAAATGCACAATTCTGACCCAGCAATGGACCCTGGAAAATTTCGAAATTTTAAACTCCGAAGTTCTACCAGCGAAAAACAAAACGCGCCCAACAAATTAAATATTCATAAAACACGGCAAGGTATTTTGGTAAGGTATTTACCGATATTTCATTTACACTCAACATAACGTGAAATTAGCATACACAAATTATTCACAAACTACAGCGTAAATGCAAATTTGTATCATAGTTCGATTTAAAACTTAAAACTCTTACCTTACAAGGACATTAAGTAAAGATTTTCAGTATTTGTCTCTTTGGAATTTTTCTTTAGTAATTAATGGAATTATATTGTAGCCTGAAGAGCGATATTTCCCCTGAAATATATCGCTTAGATTTGCTTTTGAGAAATTTCGACGGATTCATGTATTAATGCATTCGATTCAGCCAGGATGCAGCGAACAGACCAATGGACCAATTCCGTAATAGACCAACTTATTATCTAGGCATTCAAGAAAAAATAAACCACCACAGCTAAAAAGAGCATACCAAAATTAGTATAATTGCCAGGTTTGGTTGCAAAATGTCAACTAGTACGGAAAATATAGCAACGCGAATTTGGCAATTTTGTATACTTTTTTACTACGGCCGGAAGCGTGTAATTAATTTAATTACACACGTCCGGCCGTAAGTTAAAGGTATACAAAATTGCCAAATTCGCATGGCTATATTTTCCGCGCCTTACAATATTTCGCAGCCAAACTTGGCAATTTTACTAATTTTGGTATGTACTGTTCGGAAATTCCCTTTTTGTCACCTAAATAAAAAGTTGGTC